TTAAACTGGGTGACAAATATACGGATGCTCTTTTCATTATTGCTTAAACCATACATGTGTATTAGAGAGTGTCTTTGATATGTATGATATTTTCAGATTTTAAAAAATCTTACTAGTTGACGTAAGTATTAGGGTACCATACCTATAGTGAAAAAAACATTCTATAAAGGGTGGGGCTTCTTGTATATAATTGATAGATGATGCAAAATAGCATGTCAAGGAACTCAAAATAGCTTCTAACCATTCCAAAAATCTCTGGGTCAATGTGGGATTACTATGATGTGAATCTCTTCCTTGTAGGTAGATTATGGGAATTTGCTAAACTAGAGATGATTTTGAAATGACTATGTAGTCTACATCCATACAACCCTGAATGCACCTGATCTCATCTGAAAAGACTAAGTAGCAATTGTCAATACTGATCAGGCTAATGATCACCAGGAACCCACCTATGGTTGAACAAGTTGAGACTTTTGCTCATTGCAATGAAGGAAAACACACATCATGAGGAGTCTCACTTGGTAAGAGGGTATTTGAAAGGATTTACTATAGGGGTTGGATTTATGTTAGGTAATTTTGGCGAGGGTTCAAGGGAGCAGGGATTTTCTCTATATTAGATAATGTCAGGAAGCAGGGACAATTCTATTACTGGTATCTCAATAAATTTTATTAATATCTAGAAGGAGGGTGGACTAGCACTAGGCTAAATCTTTAACTGGTAAGGAAGCAGCAGGTTATTCACATTGGCAAAGAAATGGGGGTGTTTGGTACTTTGTGGCTTGAACAGTCACCTTGTTCTTGTCTGTGCTTAGACAAGATTATGAAGTGTTCTTGTTTTGTCTCACTTTATTATGGTGGTAGAAGGATTTTGTGGGATGCTGGTGCTCTGAGATTATTTATGTCCAACACAATAATACCATGGCCTACCTGTGAGTGCCAGGTCAGCTCCTAACAACATCAGGGCCTACATATAAGTGTCAGACCAGTTGCCAGATGTCAGGGGTTGTAGTTCTCTTTCTCATAACAAAGAACTATACGTTCCTTCCTATACTCTGTGTATATTCTATCCATTGGTACTATCTTTTTCAAATTTACCAATAGACATTCTTATATTTCATCTATTTCAGTTATATTTCATCTATTGCAGTAATCATTACCAATTCATCAAAACCAAAAATATCAGGTTCCTCCTACTTTAAAAAGACAAAGAGTCTCACAAGCAGCATATAGCATATAGCAGCATAAGATGTTGCAACACAGCATGAACGTAAGGTCAACCTAGCAATACCATATCAGAGGTATTTCATTTTTTGGTTCATTCTCATGTAGCTTTTATCTTTTAGGTATTTCTGAGTTCGGCTGGATGCTAGTTAGGAAAAATGATCATTATGACTGTCTTTGTGTTAGATAGCAACTGCCTTAGCTAACATAATCAATGTGGAATTTTGTAGGTCTTATTAATTTAGCAAAATGAATTAACCAGCTGTGTCAAGGTCACTTTCATTACAGAATCAGTTTGAAAACTAGAACTACAACAGCCAATTTGTTAGAATCAGAAGGGGTTGGAGAAAATGTCAGGGGCTGCTTAGCTTATTATAACGGGTAGCCTCCATCTATCAGTCCTTGCTGTAATCGTTTCAGTGCTACAGCAATAAAACCTCTTTACTTTTACCCAATCCAAAGTAAATGACAATAAAGGTTGTTCTTCCAACTGATTAGAGAAATGAGTCACCTTCTGACTCATCTCATCTCTTAGAGGTCAGGGTGGGAATTTCAATTTTACGGTCTATTAAACATGGAGACAGCCCAGTGGCGCTTCGGCATTCTCTCACAACAAACAAAGGGTGTTCACTGCCAATAAAATATCATTCATGCTTCCTTTTTGAAAACCACTCCATGAATAGCAAACAAGATACTTCTAATACTGAAAGATAGTTTGTCTCTGAGAGAACAGAGACTAGGCGCTAGAATATTGGAGAAATACTGTACTCTGACTTTCAGCTTTAAAAGTGAGAAAGGATTTTGATATGTCAAATTAAACATCCCTCATGTAAATTTCCAGCTATCACAGAAGGATATAACTATTAATATAGGTTGTTGCACCGAAGTATAAGAGTCACACATTGAAATCTGTTTCTTCCTTAGGGCATTTTAATGCATCAAGACATTCATTTGTGAATGAAATAATAATTTAATAAACATCTTCCTCCTTAGACTGTGAAACCATTGAGGGTAGTTGATGTTCTATTCAATGTGGCATCCTTAACCCCTGTATGCCAACAAGTTATCAGTGAATATGTAGGAGGGAGGGTTGATAAATGGATCAATTGGGTTGATTCATCCACCAATAAATATGTAGGAGGGATGGGTTGATGAATGGATCAATTGGATAGGTGGATGGTTGGGTTTATTCAATTGTTTCATCAATAAAAGAAGTATGACTGATTCAGAAGTTCTTTATTCATTGAAGCATTAACATGTCTCCATGAATACATAGAACTGGATTTGTTATTATTTATTCTTACTCCTCCTGACAACAAAACTTGTCTTATATCTTTCTGTGACAGCTAGAAATTTACTTTGTTTAGAGGGCAAATGTGTTTGGCATGGTTTATTTTTTTAACCCCATCCTCCTGACAGAAGAAAACTACATTTTTTCTACATTTGTTCCACTTGCTTAAGCCTGAAATGCTTTAAGTAGAAGCTGGCTACTCATTCATTCATTCATCTATTCATTTATTTATCTATCCATCTATCCATTTAACAAATATTGATTGAATACCTACTACAGGCATTCTTTTAGGCACTAGAACATCAGTGAATAGTATAGATAAAACCCCCTGCCTTTGTGGTTATGAAGTTTATAATCTAGTGGAGGAAGAAAAATAATAAATATGAAAAATATGTAAAATGCATACCATGTAAGTATTAAGGGAACAAACATAGGAAGGGTTGTATGAGTTTGGGTAGGCTAACTTCTATAACAATCTCCAAATTCCAATGACTTAATACATTAAATTAAAAGTTAATTTCTCATTAATACAACCTAAAGTTAATCTGATATGATTTAGGGAGAAGATTTGAGTGAACTAGACCTCCTGTTACCATCCATACTAACTAGCAAATGAGTTGATAGCAAAATGTATGAATACATAATCCCATTGGGGCTTGTATTAATATTAAAAAGTATGCTTCAGTAATTACAAGTGGAATTTAGAAATTAAAGATACAATTCCTCTCCCTATACATAAGCTTGAGGCAACTTGTGACGGATTGAAGGGCTTTTGAGTCACAGACTCTAGTTATTGTTGTGTGAGTGAACGAGAGTGTGGGATGTAAAGAAGAGGGTGAACAGAAATGGAATATAAATGGAAAATAATGAATAGTAAGGATAAAATAACATAGTATTGCATAAGAACTGAAGAAATAGTTATTGGGAAATTTCCCATCAGTTCTAAGACTCCACAGTTGGAAGATCAGTCATTTGTTAAAATTTCATTTCCTTCTTCATTGCCTTGAAATGAAAATCCTCACTTTGGCAAAGTCTGGTGGAAAAACAGCTGGGTGAAGAAACACACGTTCAAACAAACAAAACTTTGATATTCATCTCAACTCTACTGACACACATTCTAACTCTTAGTGTTCTTGTTTCCACTATCCATAAAATATAAAACCAATTGCCTCTCTTACTTAATAGGTATGTTATAAGACCCTGAAGGACTATTCCCTAGGAGTAAATGTGGTCCAGAAAACAGATCAGCCCTCAAAGGAACTGAGGCCCCAGTTTTGAAATTAGTTCAATCCCTGACTTGATTAAGGTAATCTTAAATATGCAGTCTCCATATCCTAGTTTCCTTCCAGAAGAATAGTGTATATTCTCAATAGATACATATTATACAGAGTCTCAATAAACATTATCATTTTTCATATATTGATGCATTGACCATCAATCAAAAAACTACCAGGTTTATGGGAAAAAAGACATGACCAAAATCAAATCAAGAAAAACAACAAACAATAGAAATAGTCCCATCGGGGACACAGATAATAGAGCTATAATTCATAGACTTTAAAATAAGCACAAATAATTATTTCAAGAAATTATAAGAAAAGAATGAGAAAGTCAGCAGATAATTAGAAAGCAGAGCAGAAGTGAAATGAAAATTCTAAAACTGATTGATTATAAGACACTTCCCAGAGTAGAAGAGACAATGGGACATTGGGAGGGAGAAAACATACCAAATGACTGAGAGGAGAAGTCTCAAAAGGATGAGAGTTTGGAAAGCTCCAGGAGCAGTAGAGACTGAATCACGCTTAGACTCTGGTTTAATTTAACTGAGAAAACAATGACCCCTGATTTGCACTCAAGTTGGTGGAGTGAAATTCCTGCCCACCCACAGGCTAAATAGAGAGGTGAATGGAAAGGTTCTCTCCCTTTGCCCTTTCTCAAGGACAAGTAAGATTGGAGGAGATTCAGGAGCTGCTTCAGCTTTGCTCCTCAGCTAATGTGCAGAGCAGGTTGGACATTTGATACCCATCTTGCTAGTCACCCCGAACGTCTACGAATGTATCAAGGGAATTGTCTGTGCCTTCTGAGAAGCCATGTGGAGCCAGGAGAGGCTTTAAGAGAAGAAAGATCGTGGGTGCTTTTCGAATGCAGAAAGAGACCTGGTTCTCTGAGGCTTCCAATTTTACTATGCTTCATAGTTTTTTAAAAATACTGTTATCTCTCCATCTCTGTCTCTGTGTCTGCCTCTGTCTCTGTCTCTCTTGCTCTGTGTGTGCACGCTCTTCTCTCTCTCTCTGTCTTTCCCTCTCTACCCCCTACATATACATGTCCCGGAGCTTTGCCAAGGCATTGCTGAGCTTGTGGTCGGGTTGTACTTTTAATTCTATGTTCTATCCCTAAATTTAAAATATTCTTTTTCTTTCTTGCTTTCACCACTCCAATCTCTTCAGTCATCAAATCTCCACTTTCCACAAAAAGACAAGAAACTCACGCGACTTTGGCACAGACAGTGCACTTCCAGCTGCCATCGAGGCCCGTGACCCGACACTCACTGCACACCCTCAGTGAGCAGGCCTGGCATGGGTCTCCCCGGTCAAAGATTAGGCCCAGGTTTCTCTGACAGTGAACACAGACTCTGCTGGCCTCCTGTTGAGTCTTCCCACTTCTACGTTTTGCTTCTAAGAGTTCGTTTTTCAACTTCCTGGAAGGAGAGCAAAAAAAGATTACTTAAAAAAACAAAACCAGAGGAGCAGAGCTATCTTTATTTAAGAGATGCTTTCATTTAAAAGAATATTTGAATCAAGGAATCACAGCCAAATACTGTCAGGAAATACAATTCTCCCTCCAGAATCAACAATCCTTTGATATCAACAGCTGAAAAATAAAATGTGTTTACTGTTGAATTTTGGCATCCTCCACTAGCACTGCTATTTTACTATTAGTATGTACTCACATTCTCCAGGATATCTTTAATACCATTAACACTGGAGCATGGCCCCAGTCTAGAGGTATGCACAGTATCATGTTTTTTACCTGCCTAGGTACACCGCATGAGGCAAGAGTGTGAAATCAGAATGAGCAACACTGGTACTTTCCTTAAGTGATCCCGTGAAGATTGTGCCTGCAAAGATATTGCCCACCACCACCATTTTGGATCTAAATGCTTCCACTCAGTATTTGAAAATTTCCAACAATTTCCATTAACCTATGACCTATGCCTATGTTTAAATCCAGGTTCCATCATGAATTAACTGTCCAACCTTAGGCAATTATATATACCCACTCAACATCAGTCTCTTCATTTCTTTCTTTCTTTTTTTTTTTTTTTCAGACAGAGTCTCACTCTGTCACCCTGGCTACAGTGCCGTGGCATCAGCCTAGCTCACAGTAACCTTAAATTGCTGGGCTTAAGCAATCCTTCTGCCTCAGCCTCCTGAGTAGCTGGGACTACAGGCATGCGCCACCATGCCCAGCTAATTTTTTCTATATATTTTTAGTTGTCCAGCTAATTTCTTTCTATTTTTAGTAGAGACAGGGTCTCACTCTTGCTCAGCCTGGTCTCGAACTCCTGACCTCGAGAGATCCTCCCACCTAATCCTTCCAGAGTGCTAGGATTACAGGTGTGAGCTTCCTTGCCTGGCCAGTCTCTTCATTTCTAAAATGAAAGTAATAATATTCTCCCACGGTTGTCTTTAATATTAAATGTGGTAATATATGTAAAGTTCCCAATATGGTGCCTGGCACATAGATACTAAACAAATGTTAGTTCCATGTTCCTTCTTTTACTACATGATGTGTAATTTACATATCTACCCTTTAGAAATTTGCTATTCCAAGCATGGTACTTGTTCCAGCAGCATAAACATCACCCGGGAACTTGTTAGGAATTCAGACTCTCAGGTACCTCCTCAGACTACAGTTTAAAAAATTTTCCACATGATTAGAGTTTGAGAAGCACAGCTTTGGATCATTTGTTCTCGAGTTTGGCTATACTTTGAAATCACTTGGAAAGATTTGAAAAATACTGATTCCCAGGTTTCACCCCCACAGATTCTGTTGTAATTAGTTTGGGGTGTGGCCTAGGCAATGGCATTTTTAAAAGCTTCCCTATTTATTCTAATGTAGTGTACTGCTGAATTTGGAAGACACTGCCCTAGAAGATAGATTCATTCCCACTTAAATGTTTCACAGACATGTTGTTTCTTTATGCTATTGATTTTCAATCCCTTCAACACAAAATTTTTATGTTCCAGAAGAAAATTCTAGATTAATTCCACACATTTCTTACCATCTCCTTTTACATTTATGGTACAAAACTTTGTCATACCCAACTAGACTAGCATCTCCCCAAAGGTAGGAACGATGACTTTAGTATCTTGTATATACTGCTCAGCATTCAATTCCATGCTAGGTTATAAAGTAGCTGAATATTTAAAACTATTTATTACTTCTTTTGATTCTTCAAACTAACTTGTGAGGTATTAGTCTCACGTTAAAGATAGTAAGCAGTATAGACAGAACCAGAAACTGGGTCTTTTAATTCCCAGCCTAATGAGAGATTCATAAATGGAGAATTTTCAAAGTGAAGAGTAAAGTTTCTAAAATCTTTGATTCATTGTTTCATTCATTAATCCAACAATATTTATAGAGTGCTTACTCTGTACTAGGCATTCTGGTATTCAGAGATAAAAATGAGTGAAAACAGGACATTTACTAAGGATTATCATTACCCTTGATGATAGTCAAGGAGAAAAATGACACACAGTGACTCATGTGTTGCAACGGACAGTCATACAGAACACTCTTAAGTCCCCACTCTCTTGTCCATCTAAGCAGAAATGACAAGAACCAACAGCATGTTTTCCTAATCCCTAATGCAGAGCTTACAAAATACTCTTATGTTCTCAAAGAGAGCACCTGGCTCATGAAATCGAGTGTAAGAAAATCCCACACAATTATTTTTGAAAACTTGTAAAAGCTACAAGCTTTAAAATAACAGAATGAGTTCTCATTTAACGAAAACTATTGTATTATTTGTAGGATCACAACAGATTTTTGGACACCTCAGGGCAAAGAGTAATAAAACACTGCCTACTCAAGTCTACAAAAATTTATGCAACAGTGATAAAAAAAACAAAGTAATTAAAATGAGTAAAACAAAGCCAGCAACTCTAGATAGCAGCCCTATCTGAATAGATTGGTGGGCCAAAGAGTAATAAACTGAGAAAATGAGGGGATTCTGGGATATTGCAGAGGCAAATTCCCCCCCCTCCCCAGAAAGAAAGAGTCCATGATCAGGTGCCTGAAGTTTAAACACTTAGCAGCTCTTTAAACTAGAGTGTCTGAGACCAGTTGGAGAAATTATGGCTGTAAATTAGTCAAACATTGTATTGCATCTTTCCTAGTGCTCTACTTGACAGGACTTCATTTAGCAATCAGCATTCCACCAGTTCACAGTTTCAGAGTCCTAAAGGGCCCAGTATAGATCAGGTCACAGGGAAGCAAGAATTTAAAGCTCCAAACACACCAGTTGAGCAATTCTTAAGGCAACTGGTGCTAATGGTCCCAAATATTCTGGCAACTATCTCTGAGATATGTGGGGAAAAGCTAGGAAGAATTCCTTAGGCTTGTAAAAAATATTCAACAGCTTACTGATTTTTCAAACATGTCTTACAAATTGACCTAATTTAATCACATCTAGGAGAATCCGCGTTAAGTGGACACAGCCATTTTGAGACACTCAAGAGGCAGAGGAAGGGCAATGGGGGGGTAATTGCAAACAGGAAAAAGAAATGCACAATTGGAGAAATAGTGCCAAGGGGAAAGGGAAGTATGGGGAGCTAGAGGAGAGAAACAGGTTGGGAGATGTCTCTGCCCTCTGTATTACCAGCTAGCACTTACAAAGCAAGGAGGACCTCATTTGGTTCCTGCACTGCTGGCCCAGCCTCAGGAAAGTATCTGAGGAAAGTGAGGTTCTAGGATGCAAGCACAATATCTGCTGATCTTTCTCATAAACAGGGAAGCCATCACATAAGCTAGAAATGCTTCTCATTTCAAGTAACTAGAGTGTCTGAGACCAGTTGGAGAAATTATGGCTGATTATAGTTGGATAAGTACTATCCAACTATATCACCCACCTCCTTGTTGTCATCATCTACCACCTTCTTAGTCACTTGCCCTCATCCTTTGAATATTTCCACACTTCTTCTTCCTATTCAGTAAAGTAAATGCTATTCAGTAGACTGAATAATGACCACTGAAAGATATCTGGTCCTAATCCTTGGGGCTTGTAAATGTTACCGTATTTGGAAAAGGGGTCTTTGTGGATGTAATTAAGTTGAGGGTCTTGAGATGGGGAGATTATCCTAGATTATCTGGGTGGGCTCTAAATGCAATCACAGGTGTTTTTTATAAGGGCGAGGTAGAGGAAGATGCGATACAAACAGAAGAGGAGAAGACACATAGAGCAGCCATCCCTGACCTTTTTGGCACCAGAGACCAGTTTGATGGAAGACAATTTTAACACAAACCAGGGCAGGGGATGGGAGGGAGAGGCAGAGCTCAGGCGGTGATGTGAGCAATGGGGAGCAGAGTGGCTATAAATACAGATGAAGCATCACTCCCTTGCCCACCACTCATCTCCTGCTGTGTGCCCACCATTCCTAACTTTCATGGAAGATAATTTTTCCATGGACAGGGGATGGGGCGGGGGTGGAGAGACAGATTGTGCAGCCCAGTTCCTAACAGGCCACGGACCAGTATCAGGCCACAGCCATAGAGGAGAAGGCAATGTGACCATGGAAGCAGAAATTAGAGCGATGTGCCCACAGTCAAAGAATGCCAGGAATCACCGGAAGTTAGAAGAATCAAGGAGGAGATTCTCACTTAGAGCCTGTGGAGGGAGGGAAGCCCTGCCAACACCTTGACTTCAGCCCTCTAGTACTTAGTTTGGACTTCTGGTCTCTAGAACTGTGAGAATAAATTTGCCTTGCATTAAGTCACCAAGTTTATGGTAATTTGTTACAGCAGCCACAGAAAATGAATATATCCTCTCTTTGGCATCATTTTTTAAAGGGCACAACATTCTTGGGCATAACACACCCAAATGCCAGGGCTCTCAGTTCTTTGACTTGCTCATCTTCTTTGAACTCTTCACTTCTTCCTGTCCATGTGAATCATCCACTCTCATAGATAAACCATAGAACTTGTCATCTCTAGAAACTGTTATCTCCAAAATCATGAATTTAAATATCTTATTAGTACTTTATAACAACAGGATCATTTTCTCCAAGCTCATTTACTCGAGACCACCACTAAAACCATTCTTCAATTCCAATGAGCCAATTGCTTCCTCATTATCCATCAGTCCTCCTCTCAGCCTCACTTCCTCTTGGAGCCAGGGCAGAAGGAGCCCTGCTTGGGACTATGAATATCCTACCTGACAAGCTCCCTGGAGGCAGAAGAGCACCTCTTGGAACATCAATGTGAATTAAACAGGTCAAGAAGACATCAACAGCCATATATCATCAGCTTTAGATGGAGAAATGGGAATGACAACAGAAAGGGGACTTCTTTATCCCATCACCAAATATTGTATGCAGTGTTGCAGAGCTTTCTCTCCCCTTCCCTTCATCATAAGCAGGCCTAAGTCCTTTGTAGAAGAGAAGAGAGAAAAAGAGATAAAGGGAGAGTGATAGAAAG